AAAAAATTGCCGTTTTATAAGAGAAGACTTTTTGTGACTGGTGGGATTCAGCTTACGGTATTTCTCATTCATTCCTATGGTATTCATAAACGGCGATTGAGTGTCGCACAACTCTGATTGAAGTTCAATGTAATGTTGGCTGTAATGTGATTGGTTATGAAGGCACACATGATCCAAGCCGACCGTTACACTTTCTCCAATAGTAAGTAATACAGACACTCGTATCTCCCAATACCTTGTTTTTACATATGGAGAAGCCGTCATTTTGAGCAAACATGCTTAGTTTCATTCATTTCTGATGCTTGGAGGCCATTTCAACTTACAGATAAAGGCTGTAATACTAAAGTTGTCCAATACAGCAAGGCTTTAATCATGTTTTGAACATTGGGGGGACCAATTAATTTTTATAAAGTACGTTAAAAAAATAGAATGTTGAAGGTGTAATGCTAGGTCTGATTCTAGTTGGGAAGTAATCAATTTAAACTATTTGCAAATATTATTTATTTTTTTAAATATGCACATATTCTATCTTTTTGTATGCCCAATATGTCAAATCTAGCCCACTGATAATGCAATAAGTTACTTGCTACTCATAAAAATTCTGGGTGAATGATCAAGCAGACACAGAGCCAGTGATTCATTCATAGACAGAATGATAACTTGTTAAAGTCTGTAGATAAAGCGCCACTTACAGATCAAAAGCTGCACATGCATTTTGCAGATGCGCAGTACCTGCGGCGGTAAAACTTCCTACATTAACAGAAAATTTTATTTTCTTAAAGCTAAGAGTAAAACCACTTCACCACAGGTCCCTAAAACCCAACTACATGTCTTTTTATAAAATTCATTAATCATAATCATAATCTCCTGTATCAAAGGCTGCAAACAAAAGCTTGTGTTGATCCTTTTTGGATAAAAGCATCTGCTAAATAAACAAATATAATGTGGACTTTGACATTCTAGGTATCATCAATAATCCAGTGAGCCACATTATTTCTGGCTTTTTATGTAGGACATCCTTATAGAAATTAAAATACAGCCTTCTAGATGCATATTGCATTCTAATGTCTTTCATGTTTTTCCCCGTAAGTTGAAATGTAAAGCGACCTTGAGCTATGGAAAGGTGCTATAAATAAAAAAATTAAATAAAACTACTACTTCTTATGCTTAGAGGTTTTTGGTCAAATTAATAATATCTCTGTTTTATGGATTTAACAGAAGGACATTAATAGTCATTCAAATTGTGAAATTTCATATGGTCTGGAGGAAATAATACTCAAACTAATAATTATCTCCTGAGGTTGGTGGTTTTCATTTTATGAAACTTCAGCATGAGAAAAAAAAAAAGTTTCAGGCCTGTTTTGTAAGTGGCCAGTAAGAGTGGACCTACTGTACTGTAAAGCATTTTCTTCATTTCTAACAGCAGTCAGTGAAGGACGATGGCATCCATTAAACAACTGCTTTATGACACACTGGATGAGCTGGAAGAAGAACATTTGAAGAGATTTAAGAGCTTCTTAAGAGAAGATGGACCTATTCCGGCTTCTGTACTGGAGAAGGCTAATGCAACAGACACAGTGGATCAGATGCTGGATCGTTTTGGACCAGAAGGAGCTGTGAAGATCACACTGGATATCCTGAAAAAGATTAACCAGAACAATCTTGCTGAACAGTTAGAGAACAAACACAAGGAAGGTAATAAAGACAAAATATTGTAATGTCAAACCTATAATGTAAAAGAAAAAAAGTGATAAATCTCTTTTTCTCTTTTCCAGTCAAGATCATCAGCTGTGCTCAGACTGGATCTGATCTGAATACTGAAACAGGTGCAGAAATAAATGCTGCAACAGTAAAATCATATGTTGGTTTCATTCTAGACCCTGCACAAAGTTACTTTATAAATCACATTAGCATTAGATTATTAATGTTTTTAAGTCTATATACTGCTGAGGTTTAGTAATAATGTTGGACAGGTCAAGGTTTGGGATATATTAATGAGATCAGGACTGAGGTTAAGTGTGAGGGGTCCTGTACTGCCCCAGCAGACCAATTCAGAGAGCACCACTGACTTTTCAACATCCCTACGGTCCATATGACCCCTGAAGATGGAAATGACTGCCATTACACCTCATATAGAGTGGTATACAGTGGAGATCAAAATTAGAGAACAACCTACAATTTCCTAAATTTGAAAGTCACTGCTTAGTCCTGTTTGAAGTTATCCTAACAAGAGTGAAAGCACAGTTTCTTAAGCATATTTCATGAGTTAAATATATTCTGAAGCACAGAATAAAAACCTAAATGAAATATTTGAAATAGAACACTGATGAAAATTAGAGAACACTTACAGATACCTTCAAATTATTGGTGTTAATCTGGAGCCTGGTGCTAATTTCTTTAATTATATGACAAACCCTATTTAACTGGCAGCATTCCTCCAATTTTCACTGAGATTGCGAGATGGTGAGCCATTCTAAAATGACTGAAACCCTCCGACAGCATGTTGTCCAGATGAAGGCAAAGAGGATAACCCTTTCAGTCATTGCAAGAGAAGCTGGTCGTTATAAATCTGTGATTTCTAGAATATTGCATCTTTTCTAATGACACTAATTCATTCAAGTCCCCCAAAAAGGCTGGTCACCCATGAAAGACAGAACCACTGAACCAGGGTAAGGATCTGTCTCGGCACGTTTAAGGGAATTCGGACTGAACGCCCACTCTGCAGTGACCAAGCCTCTCATCAGCAGAAAGAATATTAAAACTAGGCTCACCTTTGCTGAGGAGCATGTTGTGTGGAGAGAGGAGAACTGGTCCAAGTTCACTTTAGTGATGAGAGTCAGTGAAAGGTGGAGGAAGAAGAGTCATGGTTTGGGGAACGTTTAGGGGAACAGGAGTTGAGCCTCTTATACAGCAACATGGCAGAGCCAATCAGCCTTATGCAGGACAATGCTCCCTTCACACTGCAAAACAGGTAAAGCAGTTCCTTGAAGCTTAAAAATTGAAATAATGAAATAGCCAGCCCAGAGTCCTGATCTAAGCCCTACTGAAGTCTCTGGAAAATCTTTGGTGACAAAGTAATGGCTAAGAAACCCACTGCAGTCACCAAACTGTGGAAGAAGAGTGGACCAAGATAACAGCAGAGCAGTGTGAGAAATTAGTGGTCTCCTGTGGCCGCAGATGTGCTGAAGTCATTCAAATCAAGAGCCTGTGCACTTCCTACTAATTTCTGACTGCGGTAACCTTCAGAAATGTTAGTTATCCTTCTTCATGCTACAATCACTGCTGTTCTCTTAATTTTGATCACTGTGTTAATTTAGATTTTTGTTTTCCACAAAATAAAGGGTTTTTGTTGAGGTGCCTTGGCTATTTTGTAAAACACTGTTCTACAAGTATGGTATAGCCTCAACTAAAATTCCTTCAAATTTTGTACGGTGAAGACAATAATTTTTTCATGATTTCTGAAAAAATTAAGTGTTCATAAATTGTTCTCTAATTTTGACTTCCTATATATTAAGGCTATCAGTTTAACGTGTTAACTTAATTAGTTATGGAAAATAACGCAATTAAAATATTTTAACAGTAAATATTCTGGCCCTGCTTCAGACCTGTTTGTCATCTTATATTTCATACAGTTGACTGTTGACAAATATGATGCAGGGCAACAACTCCATTAATGCAGTTATGCCATAAAATTAAATATTGTTGTAAAAAATGCCCCTTTATGTCATTCCTGAATGAATTGTCTGTTTGAACAAATCAAATGAATCAATGACTCATAAAAACACTGCTACCTTCTGCCAGTGTTATTTTCTTATTTAGAGTATCATTTCATTTTGTATGAACCAGGAAGCCTGTGAAAATCTTTTGATCTTTTACTTAAAAAATTCACACAAACCTAACCTTTCATTGAAGTAAAACAATTGAAAACAAAAATGAATGTTCTGCCATGACCATTCCAGTTCCCTGACCTGAACCCTGAAGAAAATGAGTGTGGGGAGTGAATGAACACGGACATGGGAAACTGAAGAGTCTAGAGTGAAACTGGATGAAGGAATGGTCTCTGATCTCTGGTCAGGTGTTCTCCAAAATCATCAGGTATTATAGGAGAGATTCAGAGCTGTCATATTGGCAAATGGAGGTTTCAAAAAGTATTGAATTAAAGGGTGTCAATAATAGTGGTTATGCGCCAGACTTCCGTATTCTTTTAACTGGGTCTTGTCGCTTCTGGTTCAAGCGCTTTGCATATGCTTCGTTAAATATGAAGCAGTTTTACTCAAGATGCCTTCAGAGTAGATACCAAAGATTATCATAACCAATGTCCATCACATATGCGGACTGATATCTAAAAGTTTTCTATTTTTATTCATAAAATGTTTACTCTAACATTTGGATATAAAAATTGAATAAAACTTCAACAATAAAAATAGCTAGCTAGTTTAACTGATTATCTTAAAAGTCCATAGATATCGCTATTATTTAATACGGCTGAGACCTGTTTTCCGGGTTTGGTCAGGTGATGTTCGACATATACCCTATTGTGGCCAA